TGAGACACGGTCTTGCTTTGTTGGGCATGAGGGCAGTGGCAGGATCATAGCTTGCTGTGACCTCAAACTCTTGGGCTCAAGTGATCCTCCTGCTTCAGCCTCCCGAGTAGCTGGGACTACAGGCATGCCTGACCATGTCTGGTTAACAAATTCAGATTTATTAAAATTGTTGGTTATCTGAATTTTTGTTACTAGTGATTCTTCTATTGTCCAATCTTCAAAGCCCAAACCATCGCTGAAGTCTTGGCTAGGTAAATCTCACCCATTGGTTAGGTCAACTGTAACATGAGATGAACTTACTGGCAGGTTGATCAAGTTTTACTATTGATGCTTGTAGTGCATAAAGTGCTTGCAGTTCCTTCTCTGTATCTGAGTCTAGGTACTTGAGTAAGATCGGCACTCTCTGCTTGATAACAGCAGTGTCCACTCTGAAGGTAGAACAGTCAGCTAGAGGTGAGGGAAAAATCAGGCATTACATTTAAGGAGTTAACACACAGAACCATTTTCAATTTTCTGAGTGGGTAAGACCCATTTGACTATGCAAGGGAAGAGGTCACATGGGAGTCCAAGGTCCAAGATTTTAAAATCCAAAATGCTCCAAAATTTTTAATGGTACATTCTCTCGGAAATAATAAAACCATGCAGGGAGGATGCATTCTGAGTGCTGGTTTCCTTCAAGAGTAGTTATCCAGTTAATCATAATGTAACAGTGATAGTGGTTTTATGACAAACTACAAGAACAACATTAATGAAATGTCAGACCATAAAAAATGGGTGAGGTGATGGCTATGTTTAATTAACTTGATTTAATCATTCCACGTTGTATACATATATCAAAAGATCACATGTGTCCCTAAATACATACAATTATGATTGGTCATTCAAAAATAAGATAAATTAAAAAATAAAGCAGGAATTCGAGTACTTAAAAAAGCAACATAATAAAAGGAAATTAAAGTGATAGTTAATACATAGCTTTTCAGGAGGGTAAAAGAATTAGAACCATTTTATTTTTATTAGGAGGATAAGGACTAATTGTGACAGTGGCAAATAACATAACTAATCTTGGCCTTCTCGGTGAAAGGTATGATAAAAAGGGGCTAAAAGTATCCTCAGTGCCAAGAAGCATAAGGTTTTATATTCTAAGTTATCACTGGGACACATTTTTTAAATTTTTTTGTTCTTTTTTTTTGAATTCAGGATGACTACACATTTTGTTTTTAAAAGCAGATTTAGTACTTTTCAACTTTCATTTCATTATTTATTTACATATTTAAAATACAGAATGCTTCACGAATTTGCTGGTCATCCCTGCACAGGGGCCATGCTCATCTTCTCTGTATAGTTTCAATTCTCGGTATAAGTGCTGCCAAAGCCAACATTCAACTTTGATTTTAAAACACCAAAGTCTTATGGTTCTATGGATACTGGAAATGATTTTTAAATTGTATGAGAACTTTTCACTTAGCTTGTTATTTACCTCATTAAGGAACTAACGTTGAAAAATAAATTCATTGAAAATCTTAAATTACAATTCTGAAGCTAAATTAAGTAGCAGGAAGCTATCTTCTAAAATGATAAAGATAGAGCTGAAATTCTGAGACAACTTTTGAGCTGATGGATTTTTTTCATGTTAATAAGAGAAATGTGGATTTCTAACAGAGAGTAAGTAGATGGTCTCATTAAGTATTGTTGAATATTGTATGCTGCTTGGAATATTTAGGGTAGTTCTACTAATCCTATTCCCATCCACCTATGCACTTCACAAAACATTCAATAAAAACTGTCTTACCATATAAAATAAAGTCAACAAAGTGAAGGAGAAAACTGTTTGTATTTTTTTCCTTCATATTTGTATTTACATAAAATGACTTTTTTGATGAGACTGGCCTTTCACTGATATGAGTTTAACAATATTCAACTCATTCACTACAACTCATGAATGGAAGAAGGCCATAAATGTTGGAGGTGAAAAGGTAAAGAAAAAGCTACATGCAACATACTAAAAAACAACCCAAGGAACATGCAGTAACTTTCTGTCAAATAGAAGAACACAAGGCATGCAGTAGCTGCTCAGATCTGGGTTCTTCTTCTTTTTTTAAAATTATTTAAAATTAGTTCTTTTTTTTTTTTCTTTAGTATAACTATTATATTCCAGTGAGTAATAGATCTGGGTTCTTTGCAGGCCGAACAACTATTTGTCCCCATGCTAGGCACCATAGGCAGAAATGGCACCCATTTACACAGAAAACTGAGCTATACAGGGCAAGTTTTGAAGACAATATAAATTCAGACCATATAATCACTAGTTGACATAATGGGGATTTCATCAGATGTTAACAGCTGCCTTTAGAAATGTCACTTACCTATAATAGCTGCTTTACAAACAGCTGTCATTAAAGCTCTAAGGAATGTAGGTGAACTCATCTGGCTTTCATCTAGATTTGCCTGAAGTAAAAAAGAAATGGAATAAAGATACCTTTGCATATCAGAGAAATTATTTCCCCCAAACCAGGGCTGACATGGCTCTAAGGGCAGATGGAGTTAGAGTTACATTTTTGTATATTCTTGCAAAAATTCAACATCTGATTCACTGAAAAATAGTTTGACTACTGCCAGTTCTGTGTGAAAATGTTCTAAGTAGCAGTATTTAGTTTTCAGAGAGCTTACTACTGCCTATCTTCTGCTCATTCAATTACACAGTATTACGTATTATGTACATTTGGAAGTGCTACCACTAAAAAACATATTTTTATTCCTCAAAAAATGATCTAAGACCATAAATTTAAAAGAACTATAGCACAACTGCATTTTAAATACTATTTTTTCAGGTGGTGTGCGGTGGCTCACGCCTGTAATCCTAGCACTCTAGGAGGCCGAGGCGGGCGGATTGCTTGAGGTCAGGAGTTCGAAACCAGCCTGAGCAAGAGCAGACAGCCTGTCTCTACTTAAATAAAGAAATAAATTAATTGCTAACTAAATATATAGAAAAAATTAGCCAGGCATGGTGCGCATGCCTGCAGTCCCACTACTTGGGAGGCTGAGGCAGAAGGATTGCTTGAGCCCAGGAGTTTGAGGTTGCTGTGAGCTAGGCTGACGCCACGGCACTCACTTTAGCCTGGGCAACAAAGCGAAACTCTGTCTCAAAAAAAAATAAATAAAATAAATAAAAATAAAAAATAAATACTATTTTCTCAGTAGTGTGCAACTGTTCTTACATATGCCAACACTACTTTTTCATCTTAATTTTAATGAGAATTAGAGGTGAATCTCAAGCATTGCCTCAAACAAACCCTTCAGGTACTGAGAAAATTGTAACTCTTTTATAAGGATGACAAGAAGAATGCATTTAAAAACTAACTTTGTTAAGGTTAAAAACTCACAAAGTGAAAGGACAGGTAGGTGAATTAAAGAGGCTGCACCAAGAATCTTTCTTGCAGAGATTAGATATCAGGGAGGTGATATAGTCTTTATACCTCTCCCCAGTCAAAGATCTGTTCATCATTCCTTTGTCCTCAATATGAGTTTTTCAC